TTTATGGGTTAACCAGAGCTTGAGCTGTTCCCCCAAGCAGAACTGCTTGTTTGCACAGCTGCATCATTTACAGGAAATCTGTCAAATACAGAGAGAAGAGAAGAGGGGGGCAAAAAAAAGTACTCAATAGCAGATGAATACTCCTCTAGTTCGAGAAGTACAACAACCTCCGTAAGATAATTGCTGCAGAATATTTAACACCATGTCTACTAATCATGATGGAATCCTGCTCCACTCGGCTGTTCCCCTCTTTAATGAGTCTCTTACGTGTATTTCATAATTCTATATCCTCTGTCCCCGCAGACTGGGACTTCCCATGTATTCCATTCCTTTGCCTTAACGAAGCTCTTGCCTATCTTTTCTTACATTTCATGCTGAGAAGTTATTTCTCCTCTGATTTTGAGCCACACATTTCTAGTACTAGCTATAGGCCAGCCAGGCCAGCCTCAGCACTCTGACTAGAATATCATTCATGCATATAGCAAGCTCAATGGGATAAACGCTTAACTGTTTTAAACACCCCTCATTAATGAGAACAAACTCATGACACATACACCACCAACGCATGGCCAAGATTTGTTGACCTCACGGTGCCATGCTCCCCCCTCCCTTTCAGGAAATAAAGCTCAGAATGACCCTGTCGACATTCTGAATGACTGGCTAGTATATAAAATATTAGGAAGCTACTATATTAAATGTACTTACAGGTATTCACCAACAAATGAAACAAAGCATTTTTCAAGTTAGCTAATATTTACACTGAAGTGGCACAGCTTTCCTTCTTCCCACACTGATGCTCAATTTCTTGATTCAGTACTGCAGGGCTAAGACATCCTACTGGGCTCCTCAACCAGAGGAAGAGGGATGCAAGCAGCACTTCCAGAGACTATTTCTGACTTTAGAAAATGATAGCCTTTACTATATTGTGTACTCTGGGCCTTGAAAAAATTAACATTACCCTTTGACGCATTGTTTGTATCTGAGTGAACATCTAACACGAATGATTCATTTCACACATCAGAACCACTTCAGCCTCTTGACAGGCAACAGTCACGCTTGAAAGTTAGGCAAAAGAGTTGCGACAATGCGCTAACCAAAAAGTTAAAGAAAAGTATGGTTGGGGGAAAAAATGATGCTTGACTGCACACATGAATACACTGCACTCCGAAAAACTTAGTATCTTCACCAAGTTTCTACTTTTATAGATCCTATCCACATGCATTATCATATGTGGAAAAACCCAAAACAAACCTCCTGAGCTTTTTTTCTTTC